AGTATTTGTGGTGTGGTTGTGCCCAGGAGTCTCAGCCCTGGGTTTCAGAGGGAAGAGCTGCCCAAACATGCAGTCCCCACCAAGGAGACACAGCACAACTCCTGGGTGGGAGAGGGTGCATCAGGGGAGGGTGGGAGTGCAGGGAAACACAGGGGCATTAGTTTGAAACTAGTATTTGCATTTTCTCAGCAGAGTACAGAAACTCCMTGTACACAACAGATGTTCTTAAAATACAGACCAAAACTTGCTTCGTGAAACTTCACCCCACCCTAGGGAATAGCTGTCCCTGCYGGGAGCTGCCCAGCCCAGGAGCCAGGGCCTTGGAGCAGGTCRGGAGTGGCTCTACTCAAGTGCTGCAGCCGTGGTTTTCTGGTTGTGTTTCTTGTTTACTATGTTATATCATGGTAAATCTTTCAAACYAAGTTACCTCTGGTTGCCAAAAAAGCCCCAAAGCTAGTGGAAAAAGCAGTTTGTCCCACTCTCRTACTAAGAACAAACATCCACCCTGGGTGCCCCATTTCCTTTAGTCTTTTATTTTTATGCTGTGGATCATCTCAACAGCCCTCTGGTTCAAACTCTGAAATCACTGGATTCAGCAGGATGCCCCATTGGAAGTGGMGGGAATATTTCTCAAATCAGCAGCATCTTTTGAAATGGAATAAACTTTTTAAATGCAGGTACTAGAAGTATTTTTAATTAGCCACGTTTCTGTTCCTCCATTACTGTTAATGCTTTCGGTTAGGAAGTGCAGCTCTTCCTCACTCTGCAAATATCTACTGAAATTTGCAGTGCTGCTGCCTCTCTCTCAGTAACCTTGCTGTGACCTGGTTATCTGTTAGAACCACAAAGAATTCAGTCTCTAATTAGTCCATCTGTTAACTATTGAAATTCATGACTTAGTTTTATTGTCTGAGTCTTTAACATAATGCTGAATGGTCTCACCTGGCAGCTTATTTCTTATAAAGCAAATGTGCCTTTCTGAGAGCCATTTTGGTGCAGATAACTGTCTTTTCAGCACTGGACAAATGACTCTGTCTAGCAGCCTGCAGTCCCCTTCCTGCCCTCACTGAAATAAATTGTACATCTCCAATAGCTCTGGGCTTAAGTCAATACAATTTAACATGTACAATTCTTTGTTATATTCTTTGGAGTTACACTGTAAAAGCAGATGGGAAAGTTTAATAATGATAAATGAATTTAGTGTTTTCACATAGTCCTAAAAAACAATGAATGCTCTTTATTAAAGATTAGAGGGATTTTTACATACTTGCCAAAGAGTGATTACAGCTCTGGTTCAGATCCTCAGAAAGTCTTGCTTTTAAATTCTTTTTGGACTGTTTGTTAATGAGGATTCAGAGGAATTAGGGCCCATAAATTTCCTCATTCTTGCTTAAGTGAAGCCACAAAGTGATTACTGGATATATAACTAAGTACTGAGGACTGAAGTTTATCAACCACGTTGACACAGAACAATTTGTCTTCATGCTCATTTGCAGAAGTTGTGCATCTTGTATGCTGTCAGATGACGRGGCTCAAGCTTGTCAGGGGATTTTTGGAAGTGTGTAGATTCCTAAATGTACATGGCAGGGCTCAGCAGGACCGTTTGCACACTCTCCATTGAGCAGTTGARCAGTTTCTTGGAGCAGACCCATGCTGTTGGGGTGCAGTGACTGCAGCTTTGCCCATCATGCCCAGTCTGGGCGGCTGCGGGGCACTGGTGCCATGGGCTGGGCAATGGCCTGGGCAGTAGTGACACAAGCACTACACATTCCTGCGAGCCTGGAGCCTGACTCTTTTCTCCCTGCTCTCAAAACTAGCACAGGAGATACCAAGTGAGAATTGGGTAGTTATCCCAATGCCTTTCTGAGCAGAAATTGCCCCCCTGGGAAGCCCAGAGAGGGCTGCAGGAGCTCTGGACCTGCTGTGTGACACTTTGCCTGGCATCGGGAGTGTTCTCAAACACACTCTCCAGTTCCAGCTCTGTGTGGTGTGCCATTTAGTTAGGAATTCTGCCCATTTTAATAGGAGTTTTAAGAGGGGAAAATGAAAAATAAAAAACAAACCCTGATACCTCCAGTTCCAGCTCATGTGGTGTGCCATTTAGTTAGGAATTCTGCCCATTTTAATAGGAGTTTTAAGAGGGAGAAATGAAAAATAAAAAACAAACCCTGATACCTACATGCAAATGGTTTGGGCTTTTTTATGAGTCAGAGAGTCAGAACCTCCCATAGCCCTCTGCACCCTCCAGTGTTGCTGTACAGCTCAGCCACACGGCCCCTTGGGTGGGAACACCCACTTCCAACATTCCCAGCTTTGGCACCAGAATCTGCCTCTCTTTGCTGTGTAACTGGATTTATAATGGGATAAATCCAAACTGCAGACGAGTTAAGATTAAGKCTGGTTTGGCTTGGTTTTACTATGGGAAGGAAAGTGATTTTTCTTGGGAAGTGATGAAAAGGAAAAATGTTTAAAGTTCATTAACCTTTGGTACAGATTGCAGTGTCCTTTAGACTACACCAGAGCTATTCTTAGTCATGACGTGCAAGTGGTTATTTTTTATTGTACAGGAATACAGTAGTTCCCACTAGTGGTGAAAAGAGAGAACTTTTTCCTTTTCCTTTTTTGTCTTAACCTAAATGTGAACTTGTAGAAGTCAAGATTTCAAATTCATTCCTTGGCTTCTCATCTATGCTATTTTGTCCTAATTTCCCCAAAAGCAAACTGCATATCACTAGATTGTTTCTTTACTGGCTAATTAAGTGTTATACAACTTTGCTCTGAAAAACTCAGCAACCCATTCTGCGTATTTGCAAATGAACTTTGCTGATTGTCGTTATTGCTATAGGGTGCCTGCAGAAAATCCCATATAATTAAGCTGTTGTACCGCCACAGCACAAGAGCTGCAATTAGTAATGTGATTTACACTTCTTTACCATTAATAATATGGAAAAATCAACATTATTTTCTTGATGATGTTTAGGAGAAATTAGAATGAGGTGGACATGATTAGGAAAAGAGACRTTAATGTTATGACTTGTTAATGCAATAGCCCAGAGCAAGACATCAGAATGATTGTCCTTGCACTAAACTCCTTTGCTTCAGTAAGCACAGAMCCTCTGCACGCCACAAGACAAGTTKGGAGGAAATTGGATAGATGGCAGGGATTTTGGTGGTATGAACATTTCAGCGTCTTTCATGTGCAGAGTACACAAACTGAATCCCTCCACTTTCAAATATTCCCCCAGAGGCATTCTGCATTATTCAAAGCTTAACTGTGGCTGCAGAATCCTGTCTGACATGAAAGCAGAGTGCCAGCTTTACATGAACTTTCATATTTACATCTGTAGTAAATCATATTTACTTTTTCCTCCCCTCCTCTTTTTCTGTGGGAGAGAGGGAGTAAAATGGGTAGGAGGGAAGGGGGAGGAGGAGAGATGTCCAGCAGCATTGTAAGCAAAGCACAGTAATAAAATCTAGTCTTATGAGACTGCCCATGAATGGGAATGATAATGAGAGCAGTGATGAGCTGCAGGTTTGTGTCTTTTAGTAAATTATCTAGCAGGCATTTACATTTCATCAATTGTGCTTTTGCATAATAGACCAAAGTGCTACAACAAAAGGAGGCACCATAAAAATGAATAATTTCTGTGACCTTCTTGGTAATCCCTCTTACAAAGAATGCCTTGGAAGGAGTTGGGTGATTCCTCATGGTGAAGCCTCTGTGGAAAGGTGCCCCAGGCTCGAAGAGCTTTCCTGATGACAAATGCCTTCCAAGGCTTTCTTCTGGCCACTCTGAAACATGGCTCGTATCCTGTTTTCTCCATCTGAGCATGCTTCTAATTGTCAGATGTCAAAAGGCAACAACCATTTTCTTCTTGCTTATCTGCTGATAACATTGATTCTCAAACAAAGGATGTGGGCTTCCATTCTGAAAACAAAGGAAGCATGGCCCAGCTAAGGATGCTGGATATAATATACATACTTCTCCCTGCCAATAATAACAAAACATCATAAATAATGTAGAAGCTGGATGTGAAAATGGAGAACGGGGAATACGCTGGTGCTGCTGTTCCTGGGTACAGCACTCACAGGATCTTGTCCTCAGCGAGGCCTTGACTTCTTCCCTCATTTTTCTCTTGTATTTCCCTGAATACCTGCCAGCTCCTAAGATGTTTAGAATTCATWATTTTTTTWAAWTYYTTTTYCMWTTTKGG